CCGGTGAGGAAGACCTTGTGAAGTGGTAGGGTTGATTCCCCTAGACAGACCCCGGGCACAGCAGCAGAGTACATCACTTTTTTTGTTTCTCTGTGTAGCTTTGGAGCCTGTCCTGGCACTCGTTCTGGAGATCAGGCTGGCCTCGACCTCCAGAGATCCGCCTGCCTCTGCCTCCTGAATGCGCCACCACTGCCTGGCTAACTTTCTTTTTTCTTAAGCCTATTTATTTATTTATTTGGAGACAAGCGTCTTCCTACGTAGTCTGGGTTGGCCTTTAACTCACAATCCTGCTTCAGCCTCCTGTGCTCAGATTCCACACCTGGTCCCTGGCCCTCCGTTTACGTCTACAACGCTCCACCCAATACCTTATCTCCCAGGGGTCTCTTTCTCTGTGTGTGTGTGCTGTGTTGTGTGTGTGCTGTGTTGTGTGTTGTTTGTGTGCTGTGTTGTGTGTTTGTGTGTGTGTGCTGTGTTGTGTGTTGTTTGTGTGCTGTGTTGTGTATTGTTTGTGTGTGTGCTGTGTTGTGTGTTGTTTGTGTGTGTGCTGTGTTGTGTGTTGTTTGTGTATGTGCTGTGTTGTGTGTGCTGTGTTGTATTTTGTGTTTGTGTGTGTTTGTGTTGTGTTTGTGTTCGTGTGTGCTGTGTTGTGTGTTGTTTGTGTGTGTGCTGTGTGTGTGTTGTTTGTGTGCTGTTATGTGTTTGTGCTGTGCTGTGTTGTGTGTGTGTGCTGTGTTGTGTGTGTGTGCTGTGTGTGTGTTGTTTGTGTGCTGTGTTATGTGTTTGTGCTGTGCTGTGTTGTGTGTGTTGTGTGTGTGCTGTGTGTGTACTGTGTTGTGTGTGTTGTGTGTGTACTGTGTTGTGTGTGTGTTGTGTGTGTTCTGTGTTGTGTGTGTTGTGTGTGTGTGTTGTTTGCTGTTGTTTTTGCCTGTGTGTGCCTGTGTGTGTGTGTGTGTGTTGTGTGTACTGTGTTGTGTGTGTGTGTGTGTGCTGTGTTGTGTGTGTACTGTGTTGTGTGTTGTGTGTGTACTGTGTTGTGTGTGTGGGTTGTGTGCGGGGTGTGTTGTGGGTGTT